GTCAGGTTTATTTAAAATGGTATATGATTTTTTAAAGTGTTATTGGATACGTCGAGTCGAGTGCTTCGAAAGGGTGTATGATTTTTCAAAATCCTCCACTTGGAGAAGCCGGTGGCGGCTGGCAAAAGGTGGCATATGTCAGTTTTAATAGCATTTTAACGGATTGAATTGTGATTGATTTGATTTTAAACATGTTAGAGATCAAAACTGATTAAGTGGGAAAATTGGGTACAAATAAATAAATAACAGCCATAGGCATTTGTCAATGTAAAGCACAAATAAGCTTAGTAAGCCTATAGTCAAAAGACTCAAAACCAAACCTGTACAGATTTTTGACAAATAAGCTTACGAAGCACACAGGGTTGTCACTCAGATCAACGCATTCGGTAATTATGTATAGGAGCGATTAACTTTTCACATATTAGCAAGGTTTGCTTAAATGGCATATTTTGCTCAACAATGACATAAGAAAAATATTTAGAAGGGTGTATTCATATGAGATATATTTTAAGATTTTTGAAATTCAATACTTTTAATTTTTGTGATTTTTACGAAATCCTTATAAATCTTAAGGAGAATGTATTCATCGCGGATTTGTAAAAACATTTTTAAAATTTTAAAAATTATAGTGTATTTAACTTAGAATTTTAGAACTTTTAAAAGTCCCAACTCCTAAGGTGTTTAATTGAGATTTTAAAAGTTAAGACATGCGTTTAAAAGCCCCAACTCCTAAGGTGTTAGAACTTTTTAATATTATATGGGATTTGAAACACAAAATTACATGTCAAAAATCACCACTAAATCTCAACTTTAGACTTAGGGTTAGGAGCGTATTCGTTAGCATTTCTAAAACATTTTTAAAACATTAGAAATTTTGGTGTATTTAATTTAAATTTTTTAAGATCTGTGAAAGTCTCGATGTATTCATTTGAGAATTTGAAAAGTGTTACAAAATCCTAATATATTTAATTTATTTGAGACTACAATTTGTTAAATACTTCTTGAGATTTATTGAAATTTCAAAAGAAAAAAAAAATATCACTCTAAATCTTGCCTCTATTATTGCTTATCAAAATAAATAATATATATATATACAACTATATTATATAAATATCATTACACAAAATTCTCATAGCATTTCACCTAAATCTTAAACTCTCAAAAAAATTTATATCTAAAATAGTCTCAAAATGACACTCAATATCCCAAACCAAAACACCACCTTAAGATTTCTAAAGATTTTTAATAAAATGGATAAATCTTAAGAGAATCTTGAATCTAAGAGCATCTCCAATACTCTAATGTTGTTGTAGGATAAATTTTGACAAATGTCAAAAAATTAAATAGATTGTGAACCATGTAGGATAAATGTTGAGTTCACAACTATTAAATTAAAAAATCATCTTCAATGCACAATGTAGTCTAATTATCATATTATCTACTTACCAAATATTAAAATTTTAATATGAATTAATAAAATTAATTAAACAATTAAATAGTTTAAAAATTGTAATAATAATTATCTCTCTTCTCTTTATTGGCTAACTAGAGTGTGGAGGAGAATGTGGATGAACCACATTCTTGTCTACATTGTAGAAATTAATTATGTCCACATCATCACAACATTTGTGATTAAATTGTGCATTGGAGAATAGAAAGTTGTGATATTAATAAATGTGTTGATGTGAAATGTAATTTGTCACCACAACATTAAACATTGGAGATGCTCTAAAAAAGTTTAAAATGTCACTCAAAATCTTAAATGAATACCATTTTTAAAATTATTATTTATTTATATATAAAATCTTATACGCATGCCCTCACAATATTTTAACTAAGAATTGTTCTTTTATTATTTATCAATTACAATATAATCTAGCTTTAATTTTTTAATATCAATATTAAAATAATTATTAATCCCCCACCGGTTTTTAGAATATATCCAATATCCAATGGCATTATGGCACCCTTAAATAACTTTATTACAATTTCTCGATATATAAAATGCGAAATTAAACAATAACCCTAATTGACGTGTAAAGATTCTCTCGTCTCGGCTGCTCTTCGCCCGCGTTACTGACTGTTCTCTCCCTCCCCCCTTTGTCATCGCCGTGTGGTGGCATCTCTGTCCCTAATTTGATTAGGGTTTTAGCCTCTGAATTGGGAGTGTTGAATCCCAATAATTTCGAGCAGTGCTTCGTTCTTCTCCTGACAGGTCCCTTCAATTTGTGAAATTTAGTTCTTGACAATTTTTTATTTTGTACTTTTTTGCATTAATTATCACTTCTGTGGATCTGGGTTTATCTGTCTGATTATCAGTTTTGATTATGGATTCATCTATTGAGTGCAATTATAGTTCCTTGATGCATTATCATGAGCTTCCAGTTTTCCTTGATTTGGTTTGTTTGCTGATTTCTTATTTATTTTTCTACTCAGGGAGTTGCCGTAACATTTTAGTGCTTTCAGTTTGTTAAGAAGGATAGACACTCAGATGGAGGACTGGGGTAATTTCATATCTTTTATATTTTTATCCTAACCTTTATAGTTTATTTAGATTAGATATGTTACTTTTAGTTTGATCAATTTGACATTTTTTAGATTTCTTGTTTGTGTTTCACTGCACGGCTTTGGTTAAGCTGATTTGAGTTTGACATACTTTTATAATGACTAGGTTATATATCGACCTGAACAAGTTAACTTAATTTGAGATGTGCTGTTAAATGCATATTTTAAAGAGTCATTCTCGTTCGGGCTGCTTAGACTGTTTATTATTTTATTTTTGGCTGTTTTGAACATACAAATAAGGCTTGTTCTTAAATTTTCTTCAGTTTTTTTTCATTAATGCAATTTATTGTTCATCCTGTTATAACCTGCGTAGTTGATGTTTCCTGATCGAGTACATAAAACCGACATCATCACGTGCCTTGAATTGTTATATGGGATATTGTTGGTTAATTAGGGTAAAAGGGGTTTCTTGGTTGCATATGACATTGAATAGCCAGAGGGTTGGTACTCTTGGGGATTAACCTTCTCTTAATGAATTAACAAAATCTGGAGGGGTTCACCTGACTAGGATGACTTAGCATCAGATAGCCTTTGAATCTCAGGGAGTTCATAATTGATGAGCTGTTGATTTTTTTATATATAACTTCATACTGTTTATTGTCTTCTCCTTATGCATCTTTATGCATCGGTAACATCAATTAAAAGTTAATTTCTTCTTGTTACTCTCGCTAGTAGTGTAGTTTATTGATTGTTAAAACTGTTTGGTGCTTCAGAAGATGAGCCTATTCCTGATCTTCTCAAGAAAAAGGAGCCTTTGAAGGCCAATTGGGATGATGAAGATATTGACGATGTCAAGGAATCTTGGGAAGATGAAGATGAGCCCGCTACGGTATGTAAATTAGTCTACCTTTTGCGTGCTCGATTTTAAATTTTGAGATTATGAATGAAACTAAAGCAATTTAGAATCTTCAGTGTGACTATTTATGTTTATAGCTTTATCAGTGTGTGTTATTCGCCTCTGTTTCTTCAATACCCTTTGTCTTGCAGCATATTGTTGTTTGCACTTCTTGAATGGCTGTCCACTGTTGCTTAAAGCGAAGAATAATTTTGATAGTTACAGTTCACTCGTATCTGTGACTTTTCTTTATGTGATTGTTCAAAAGTTTTCTGGTTGCCTGAAAATACGTAACACTCAGCACAATGCTTTTTGAAATGGATATATTTACGTTTGGCTTCTCTTTTTTCTGCAAGTGTTCATTTGTGTTTGCATTTGATATTATTTTTCTCTCTAACTTACCTAAAATTATGCTTCCATGCACCAAAGGTGGAGTCAGCACTATCTGAAAAGGCCCCTAAGAAGGTTGCCGCCAAATCAGGTGACAAGAAAGTGAAAGCCGCAGAGGCTGTAAAAGATTCTCCAAAGGAGGAACCATTAGATCCTGTACAAGAAAAACTCCGTCAACAGAGGTGGGTTTATGTTGCTCATTGGCATTGCTGAATATGTTTTTCGATTGTGAAGTTTGTTTACTTTCTGAACCATCTCATCTGTTTTGCTTTGGAAATTAAAATGGATCAGATCAACTAGTGAAAGTGATCTACAGATGATGATCTCTTTTTGAGCTAGGACTTGAAGAATTTGCATTTTACAGCATCAAATAAAATCTCATATGAAGACCTTATTTGAGAGTGGAAAAACATATAACTGGATTTTTTGTTCGATAAAATGAATTGTAAAAGTTACAATGGAAGACCGTTATACCTCACTCTAATTTTTATTCTAGTAGTTACGGTTGCAAGATCCACAAATCGAACCATTAGACTCTTTCTTTTGGACGCTAATATTTTTTTATTTGTTCTTTATATTTAACCATAAAGGAAATGAAAACTAGAACTTTGAGAAAAAGGGCCATCTAGCTTTTGGGCATCCCAACTCCTGAGTGGTTGTTTGTTTTGGTCAATCAGGGCCAATATCGCAGCCATTTGTTAACTTTTCTTGAAATGGATATGATTAAACTCGAAGCTGGCTTTGCTAATTTTGTACAGGCTTGTCGAGGAAGCTGATTATAAAGCTACTGCTGAATTATTTTCCAAGAAGGGTGATGATAAGACACTTGACAATTTTATTCCAAAATCTGAAAGCGATTTTGCAGAATATGCAGAACTTATTTCCCATAAACTTCGTCCGTACGAGGTTTGTGGTATTCTCTTACTGTGATATTTTATTTGGTGACTTTGATGCAAATATGAACCGGACATTTTACTCTATTACAGAAAAGCTATCACTATATTGGATTGCTGAAGGCTGTGATGAGATTGTCTGTGACATCTTTGAAAGGCTCAGATGCCAAAGAAGTTGCATCTTCCATTACTGCAATTGCAAATGAAAAGATAAAAGCCGAAAAAGAAGCTAATGCAAGCAAAAAGAAGATGGGTTGGTTAAAGATTCAATTTTTTTAACATATCATGTTGAGTTAGGTTGATTTTACCTTGAAAAGTTTCTGATCTGTTTGTTTGTAGGCGGGAAGAAAAAGCAGCTGCATGTTGGAAAGCCGGACGATGATGTGGTGGTTGATACATACGATGATTATGATGATTATGATTTCATGTGATAAGGCGCCTTTTAATCTTGAAATGCTATAGATTACCATTCTAATATATTTGTGTACACCATCTAGATGAGTCTGGTGAGTATGATGTGGATTTTGCGGCCTGTTTTCTGTGTAACTTAATTTGGTTGATGGAATGTGATCGTCTCTTTTTCATTTTTGGAATAAGAACGTTTTATAATTCTTCAGATTTTGTTGTTTGTGCTTATTGGCGATCATTTTTATTCCTCCACTGAGTGTATTGTTACTCATATTCTTGTATCTTGGATTTGATTATAAAAGGTGTCTGTTACTGCCTATTGGCCTTCCTCCAAAGTCTCAGAGCTCTAAGTCTTAATTAATGGTTAAGTTTTTTCCTGGTCGTGGAAGACAATTTTCTGAAAAAAAAAAGAAAAAAAAAGAAAAAAAAAGTTTTAACTTTTAATTCACTATATTATCTACAAGTGGACTTTATTGGCTTTTAATAATCAATGCGTTGAGTAAATTGATTTATACTTGGAGCATCTCATTAAGGGTTTATTTTACAATAAAGTTACTTCAACTCAAGTATTTGACATAAAAAAAATGACAAAAATGATGTTTATTGTTCAACTGTTGATTTTAAAAATGATGTGATTTGTAAAACAACAGGATCGAGACGTGTTATTATATCAAAATGACTATAGCTAGCATAGTCCGTTATTTTAAAGTGGAATCATGAAAATAAAGCTCACATGCAAAAATCAAAATGACTTGTATCATATTCTGAAGAGAGTACAAGATATTCAGAGGAGCTGAATTTCTAGGCCATCCAACATCTACGCTTTGCAGTTACGACAGCTCTTATTAGATAGCACATCCATTGTGACGTTAGACTTGTTGCCACAATCTATAAAAAGTTAAAAACATATGCTAAACAAAAATAATCACACCTGTTACTTCTTTATGTATGCTATAGCCGTAAATGTAAAGAACGTGCCACACGCACAGATCAGTAAAATCGACATACTCCAAGCTCGGAAGCTGTAATCTTGACCAAAAGTCGCAAGCCGCCACTCGAGCAAAAATTATGCAATTGCCCGACCCAATTACTTCTCAAAAGTTGAACCACTTACCAACCAAAGTGGTCTAGACATGCACGGAGCCGAAACTTGAGTAGGGCTTCTAGAAGTCATCTAGCTCGATTATTTGTGCTCTTCTCTCGGCAGCTTTTTTCCTGATAAAAATTCCCCACCTTAGAGCTGCTTTTAGCTTGAGCCAACCCACAACAGCTTTACCAGACGAACGCGCGCGTTCTTCTCCGAACCCAAAATTCGAAGGCGTGATAGGGGTAAAAGCGGAATATGGATAATTATTATGCTCACTGGCACTAAATGAAGCGTTATGATGGCCGCCGCCCATGCTGAATACGCGTAGCAGATGCTGCATATCCTCGTTTTCGAGCATTTCATGGCTCCTCACACGAATTTCATCTTCTGGTATATCGTCTAAGCCCCTAAAAGGAGTGAAACTATGTGTGCTGCCATTGGGAAAGTCAGGTGTGGTCGAGAGTGGTGGGCCGAGAGCCAGCATGTTTTCACTTCGAGATGGCTGAGCTTGATGGGTCGCATTTATCAGCTGGTTATGGGTGTAAGAAGTGCTGTTGTTTAATTGTACAGATGCATTGAGATTCGTGTTTTGTTGTTGCACTGAATATCGGCCTCCAATGTTGTCATTGTAATCTGGTTAAAAGATGAGCACTGGATAGTGAGCAGAAGATTAAGTAGGTATACTCAGGATCAGCAAAAGAAAATTAATAGAATTTGCAGCATATTGTCATAAAACTATAATAATTATTAAAAAGAAAACAATAAAGGGCGTGCTTGGATATAAAATTTCCACTCAAAATGGGATTTTTTTGGTTAACCAGGGTTAATTTGGAAAAATGTGGGCTTAGTTGTTAGTGAAATTTTGAGTTTATATTAAAATATTGTTTAAAATAATAATTCAAGTTGATTTGATGTAAAAGTATGAAAGAAATGATGTGAAGTGATGATTTGTTAAAATTATGCGAGTGGATGAATAGTGAATCAAAGTTGATGCGATGTGTAAGAATGATTTATTGATATAATTTAATTATATATTGATATTGATAATATTGAGGATAGTGGAGTTGAGTTAAATTTTGAGTTGGATTAAGTATGGATTGGAAATTTTTATATCCAAGCGATCCCTAACAGAAACAGAGACGTGCAAAACCTGTCATGTGTGAGAGAAATATTAATTAGTCCAAAAATGTACATTCGGCCGTGTGATGAGTTACCTCCGATGGTCAATCCCGGGTCCATGAAAGGATGTTCGGCAGGAATTGGTGCTGGCAGAGTAGGTTGACTGAGCTGGTGAAAAGAGTTTGGCTGATGTGTTTGCATTCGCAGATCATTCTGTGATGAATCCGAGCCTTTGTTCTGATCAAAGCCCAGAAGTGATTTGCTATCATATTCTATGACGTGATTCCAGTTGTCGTAGGCCTTCTTCACCAGTGTATCCACGAAGACCTACAAGATGTAGTGAGCCTTAAGTCATCTGTTTCACTTTCTCAACTTATTTTAATAGTAGCAGCCAAAAAAAAAAAAAAGGAACCAACTTCTTTGACTCAAGATCATTTTGCTTGATGGTTAGACCATAATTAGTCATCAGGCATGAATTTATAAATAATTATTTATTCAAACCCAAGTTGGATAACGCCACTTGATCGACTCGGGGGAACAATAATAAAGTATATAAGTATTCTGGTGGTAAAAGTTACATGAAGCAAAATCAAAATCATGATCTACTAGATATCATCTGATAACCGTTTATAGTGATTCGGCTAGATTATCAGCAAACCCAGTCAGATAAACGTTAAGTAGAAACTTGTCACAAGCGAGAATTCTCGATATTAAAAAATCATTCATCCTCTCAAAAGAGTAATGTGATATTATAATGAGAAAAAATTAGAGTTGGAAGTAATGTAATGGCAAACCCACACGCACTAGTACAAAGCAATTACCAACCTTCTGACTCTCGGAAAGAGAATCAACTGAATGATACTGTCCGCCAGCAATCAAACCACTGAAAACGTAGATGTTGTTAAAGATGACGCCCACATTTCTTGGCTCGTCCGGGTAGTATACATAGAGCTTTCCACTAAGAACGCAAGTCTTTGAGTGCTCTACAAGGACATCCCACATCTTATTTGACATCCCACTTCCAAGAATCTGAAACAATACGAGATAATCCACTTAGAACTCACATGAATATGCAAATGGGAACACCAGACCAGGCAGAAGATTAGCGTTTTTGTTTTATCTCACATTTCGGAGCTTCTGCGGGTCTCTCACAACATATCTCAAGAAATCCTCGACCGTGTGTATTCCAGATTTATTAAGCCTCTTATGGAATGACCCATCCTTCCCGATCTTCTCCAATCTCCAAACTTCATCAGTTAGCACAGGAGGATAATGTTTCTTGTACACTACAAAAAAAAAAACATCAACCCAGTACAGATTCACCACCCATTATGCAATCACACATGAGAAAAAAATAATGATAATTAAAAAAAAAAAGGAAATCAAAATTTTCATTTCTCGGCCAAAGACAAATCTTACATTCCCCTCTGTGATCCTTGACAGTAAAGGCATCCGTTTTCGCCTCCCGGATTCGTAACCCATCACAGCTACCCGAAGCAACTTTCAGGCCAAGCCGAAATTTTCTGCTCCTGATCCAGCTTGAGTTGTCGGTAAAAGTCAGCTCCCCAAGGCTGCCAACACCTTCCTTTAGAGCCACCTGCAATTCCCCAGTGAGGAGTGGCCTCTTCCCCTCTCTCTCTTTGACTATGTGAGACTCGAATGTCTCCTGGCTCCAGTCCTCATCATCCTCCTCGTTAAAATCACCTTCAAGCACGACAACATCTAGCTTGACAGAGGACTCTAGGCCGGAAGTTACGATTCGGCCAGTGTTTGCATCGAGCAGCACGACGTGGATTGCGGAGCCCTGTTCTCCCTCGACTTTTCCACCCGTGAAGAGAGGGAGTGACAACTTGGATTTGAATTGGAGCTGAAGGTTTCTTCCATCAGGTCCCTCGATTCTTTTCGGAGATGACCTGTGCGTTTAAGGAGGATATGAATATAATGCGAGGAGGTAGCATGGAACAGAAGGGTTTAAATTCAGCATAACAAGCACAGAGAGCCGAGAGTATTTGTGCAAAATGTTTTTTTGCCAAGAATCGCTTGAATAAATGGCTTAAGCCCTACCTCCCATTTAGTTTGGAAGGCCCTAATTTTGCTAAGGCTCGCTCAACTTCTTCACTAACCTGAATTACCAAAAGGG